CATGCGCCACCGCCGTCCGCCGCCGCCGCCGGTCCACCTGCCTCCTCCGCCAGTGACGCGGCCGCGCGCTCCGTCCGCCTCGGTTAGCGAGGCGCTGCTGGCGCGCCGCTCGCTGGTGCCGCCACCGCCCCCGTCCGCCTCCAGCGGCCTGCTGGAGCTGCTCAGCCTGCCGGCGTTCCACGGCCAGGCCTCGGAGCCGAGTGTGTCCAGCCTGCCGGCGCCCATGCTGCCGGAGGTTCAGTACACCTACGACGGCAAGATGATCCGCAACCCGCTCTACCGCGACCGGAGGAGGCGGAGGGCCGTCTCGGCGGCCGCTCCGACCCCCGAGCCGGCGCCGTCGGCCGCGCCCACCGCCGCGCTCGGCGCCGGCGCGCGGATCATGGTCCACCCCGACACACGCCAGGTGACCTGCACGGCGAACGTGCTGCTGGCGCCGCCGCATAGCTACGCCCACTTCAAGTGCCGGCCCGGCTCACGGCGTGACGCGCTCGGCGAGTGTCACCACGGCGGCAGTACGTACGGAGAGCTGCACCCACGCCGCTGTCCGCACGGCATGCGCCACAACCGGCTCACGGGCCAGTGTCGGCCGGCGGCGTGAGGGGCCGCACCGGGAGGACTGATCAACCAGCGTCCGTGAGCGGACCACAAGCGGGTGGGATCCGGTCAGTGAACCGTATTTAACTGCGCGCGTCCTATTTAATAGCTATGTCTGTTGTTGTGCGTGTGTATTTCGTGTATCTACCTGAATCTCGCGTGTCTCATGCGAGTTTAGTATGCGTGTATCATGCGAATGTCTCTCCGCGCACGTGGAGCGTCCGGTGTGCGTCCTCTAACGAGGGCCGCCGGCGCACAGCGCGATTACCATAGTCACTCAGACCACAGCTGGTGTATAGCTACGCTGCCGTGCTCGGTGCTGGCGGCACCCGTGTATGTCGTGATGTGCGCGACAGAGCGTGAGTTACGCGCTGGTGCGTGACTGACTTCTGAGGCCTGGCAGTTAGCCGGCCGCTATTCAGGGAGACTGCGTCGACACTCACGCGATGACCCATTCGGGCCGCGTAGAGTCCGGCGCTCTCATAGTGTCATGTTTCACAAATACAATGATATTCGACGTTACGCGGCGTTTTCTGCCATCAATTCGGGATGAGATCGGTACAGACGAGACACTAGATGGACCCTCTGCCAATTACGGAACACGTGTGTCACGTGACGCGCCGATCGGCCACGGCTCTCGCCACAAATCCATCACGTGACACTGACCGGCGCCATCAATACGGCTTCACGTCCGCCGTGAGGAGACATTCTGCACGTGCTCTGGAGCCAGCCAAGGCCGGCCGACCGGCCCGGGGGCAGAGACGCCCGCTCCTTCGGCGGGGACAGGGCGGACACACCCATCTCATAGACAGCCCCGCACCGAATCACAGAACCACTCCGAGCATTTCCAGCAAGTCCCTCCTACCTCTGGTGCCGGCCAGGGCATCTCAGTGTCAGGCGGCGCCAGTCCAGGGGCCCGTCAGGCCGATACATACCCACCGGCCCGGCGTTTTCAGAGTTTGTTTGTTATTTGAATTTTACGACGGCCCGAATGGCCGCGTCCTGGGCCATCAGGGGCGGCCGCGCCGGCCCAGAGATAGAGTGGCCGAGGCGCCGCGCCTTATACAGGAAGACAGTAGCGAAATCGGGGAGCGATCGCTGCATTTTGAGAGCTGCACGAATGAATATCAGTCGTGTGACGCTCCAAGAACCGACGATGTCCAGTGATGACTGGAGAATGACTCATGGGACGGTGTCCTCCGATGGAGACATGTGAATTATGAAATGTTATTAGGTATGGCCGACTAGGGGCGCGGGGTCTAAGGAGCCTGATAGGCGCCAAACAACGTAATAGTGGACCAGGAAAACTTCCTTAACAGGATTCATATGACGAACTTAGGTCGTAATATTGTAATTTTAAACAGCCTGCGAAATGTCGCCTTTGACGGCTTGGAAGATGATACCTGCGTCATTAGAGCTGTATAACATTTGCCTGCAATACAGGCTCGTGATATGCGACTTGATGTTGTTACACGTTGCCTTATTTTCCAAAAAGCTCGGGCTGTTCAGGCAACGAATCACTTTATAACATCTTCACACGGCACTGTCACTGCGTTGGATGGCGCGTATAAGCCGCATCACATCAGTCAGTCAATCCGCCCGAGAGGTGTCATCTCCACCCAAACCCACCACCCAAGCCGACACGACGTGTCCCTATAACGGGGGAGCGTCTGTCGCACTGTCTGGCCGTGTGGGTAGCGCCGTCTGCCCACAGCAGATGGCAACACACGATAACCATGGGCTGCTAATCCCCGAGACCGCTTTGTTCGCGGTATAAAAAGCCGGGCGACAAAGGAATTTCCTGACCGATGGCATCCTCCTTCCATTCTCGAAAGGATTGATCCGCTCGTGTAGGTGTGATCCTAAACGCAGCAGCTTTGTTCTGCCCACTTCAGAGGTACGATTTCGGTCTTGTGTGGTATCAGCTATATCTCATGCTAATTAGATGTTCATTATCGAACGGGCACAGCTGTTCCCATTACATATGCATTCAGATAGATATTTAACTTTTCCATGCCACAATTGCTGTGAATGTGAGCGTCTGATGGCTCGTTCGATATTGAATGTAAAACAATATCACTGATCTCCGCCAAATCGGTCTGAAGCATGCGACCAGGCATAGACGCGACACCTGCACCCGAATGTACAGCGCCACCTGCACAGAATTTCCAGCACCAACAGCCATAGGTCTCGTTGACGCTCATTACTATATTTCGCCTGTCTCGGGAGTTCAGGCATGTGATTAATGATTCATAAACTTAACTATAGAGGAATTAGAAGGTTGAAAACATGTGCAAAAAGGTAAAGAAAAGTTATTTTCGAATGGAATCAAACTCTCGATGGGATTTTAACACCTCGAGTAATTACGAGTCAAACACGTACCTTTTCATTTTATTAACTGCGTTTGTATCTGCTTTTGTGCCAGGTTCGGAAGATGCTGGACTGGGCTTTCCTTCCTGCTTCGTTACTATTACATGAAATATATTTCAGATTCCGAGTCCAACAGTTCCGTGAAATCACACAGCAATTTTCCGGAACGATCACCACACGACCAAACCCAGTCACTCCCTGCCACGGATCTATCCTCTCGACAGAGCTGCCATTTCTCCCCATCCCCGGAGTGATCTCAACTTCCAGAAACGGCCCCAAGCCGCTCCACAGCGCTCAGAGCTGCTAAGCGCGTTGTCGACGTGACACCCATCTGACAGTTTTGCCCGCACGGCGGAGCAGTTTTCATGTCGCCCGCGGCTTACAGAGCTCCGACAAACCGTTCCCGAGACCACCCCAGCGGCGGGCACTGCTGCTTCAGCTGGGGAGTATCGGGGTACGACGTTCTACGGTCGACTCCGCCGGGCTGCCGCGTGACGGAGGACTGAGACGGAGGAATGCGGACCTCCTAAACCATCAGTGTACCGCAGACTGGCCGCGCGTGGCCGCTCAGGACCTCACATCAGCGGGGCTATCACCCGTGGGTCGGTGGGTCGGTCATTTAGGCGGTTGGTTGCTAGGACGCTTGGGCAGAGATCCATGCGCAGATGTTCGTAGTGATTTAGGTGCCGGTTGATCTTGTCTGACTATATAGAGAGCTGTTCTTTTGTCCGATGCAAGATGATTTCGAAGAAGGTTAGATATTTAAAACTGTCCAAGCAGGGAACAGACAATGCTAGCCTGCGTCTGATTGACATGTGTTATAGAAATCATTCTATTGGGTAAAATAATATAAGGTAGGAGCACACGGCCGAAGTATGCCAAACTAGGTCTCCAACTGAAAAGGATAGTACAATGCGGATAGGAATGTCCCGGAGACGTCAAATCAAAGTAAATTATCCAGCTTAACTGTTAGTCTGGGATTTCTTCCAAGATGCTATCAAAGAAGTCGGGACGAGAGGATATTAGACAATGACGCAACATACAACAGGCATGGATGGCATGGCAACGGAGGTCGTCTGTATCATCTTAGAGCAGAGTTAGCTGCACTTGCGGACAGTTATAGGGTAAAGAATAGCACATGAATATGACTAAAAAGCATAAAAGTAGGTATTCCAGTTCTGCGTTAAGAAGATATCTTATGGAAAGCAGCATACGAATAATAAAGAGAGTACATGTGATTCACAACGAAACAAACTTGGTTAGCTGGAAAACGGGAAGTGCGAATTAGACATCAGCGACATAAAAAGTGCGCTTTCATTCGAGTTTCCTCACGGTTACTGAAGTCCGGGAAGGAGAAAACTGGGCACCAGGAACTCATCAATCGAATGGAAAACTTTACGCCCACTCTATAATTATCGAAACAGAGACCACGGCCAATTCGATGGATATCCCAGACTTTTGACAAAAGCACGGGGTCACACAGACTGAGTCATATCAAAATGTTCAGAAAAAGAATACTAATTAATGAGCTACATCGAATCGCCCAATGATACATTAAACCGCTTCCTCAGATGTCTCACCATGGTCATTGCTCATGTCTCTTTATAATGTGAACGCCAGATGTCGCAACATCCGGTCTGATGTTAAAAACCGATGTCGCAACGTCTCATGTGGCAACAGAGAGGCGATCCATCGGCTGCAACGATTCATGATTCATGGATATCAATCATTCAGGAAATATGAGTATTGTTGTTACAATAAAATATACCACCTCTGAAAATGAAGTCGAGGTTGATGCCCACTCATCGTCACAAAATTCGTCTTCGTGTTTACTACCCAATCCCACTCCATCACAAACGCTCTGCGCAGTCCAGAGTTCTGACATGCCCATTATCCTGTTGAGATCAGCAATGTTAACACGTTCCAACAGCATTCGTATCATTGTTTGCTTGTTTGTTTGTTTGTTTGTTTGTTTGTTTGTTGGGGGTTAGGGGCGCGCCGACTGGAAGGTCATTTATCAGTTGCAGCGGTACTTACCGCTTGTCCTCCTCTTCAATCTGCCGCACGACCTCATCAATGACAGCCTTCTCCTTGAGGAACTTTTGGAACTCGCTCTCCTTCTGAAGGTCCTTCTCCACAAATTGCTGCCGCAGTCCCTGAAAATGATCCGCGAGGCTCAGAACAGTACGGTAGCACTTGAGGTAGCAGTTGATTGGTGAATGGGCTACCAGCAGGCAAATGCAATAACGACACTGGAAAATCAAATATAAAAATAAAATGGGAATGACGATTCAAATAAAGCAATAAGCAAACTTCAAGTAGTGGATCAGCTGCGGAGGCTCAAAACACATCGACAGTACCATGAGCATTGAGCAAGGATGTTGTCAGACGACTTCGTTATCACACCAACATAAAACTGATACAAAATACACCTGCCATGAATGCGCCAGACCAAATCTTGGTTGTAGTGCGTCGAATCGAGAACTGAACGACTGACAATGCCGGAAAATCAAGTCATCTTGTCTTTCTTCCCCGACGCGTTCACGCTCATGACATGTTGTAGGTTTATGTCATGAACCTCTGCAGGACATCATAAATGAACCGGACGGGCGCTTGGCCGGTCTTACACTGCTAACGAGTAGTTGAGCTTGTTCCACTGTTAGAGGCAATGTAGAGCCCAACAAGGCAAATATTACCCAATCTGACCACCAGATGACGCCATGAGCTCAGGGCTACAACCAAAGACAGAAACAAACGACCTTCAACACCTGTATCAACTGTAGAGCACAATGGTCCCTAACGGCCTCTGAATTGGGCCCTCGTCCAGCGCGTGTTTACCTACGGAATTCCCGATTTACGACTATAGGAGCCGCGACCGATTCGATCAATCAATGACATCTTCCTCCTTCGGGCCACCAGGGTTTACCCCTCACGTTTTGGTTTCGTACTGAGTGATCTAGAAACAAAACACCACAAAGCGCTGCAGGAAAGCAGGACGGCAGTAGGGAAGGACGCGACGAGGAAGTACAGCGAAGACCACGGAAAAAAATGCTGAACTGAAGCTCAGACGTCCACATAGATAATGTTGAGCTTGTTTGCAATGACAAGATACAGAAAAGACGTGTCAACAAAGTATCTTAATCAAAGAATTATGTACTAACATCGCAACACACTCCAAATGACTAAAGACAAAGTAAGGTTCTACAATCTGCTTCCATCACATCGTTAAACGCTTGAATATTTTATAGTGACACAAGAAACTAAACCGCTGCTGCACCCCGCCCGCCCAGCTCTATCGCGCGTGACGGCCGTCATGCTCGTTCAATCCGACCGTCCCGTACCCACCTCCAGGTAGCGGGCGCTGTCGACGAGCCGCTGTCGCTCTCGCTCCTGTTTCTCGATGTCGTACTGTTTGGTGTACTCGTCCAGTGCGGCCTTGTCCCGCTGCTGCTCCATCTGGCACCGTCAGAGATGGGAAGAGAGTCAGTTGTCTGGACCACACGAGAGATTCCATAAGTCAAGGGTGATTTCATCCTGATGAAGCTTATTATGAGCCAGATTGATGATACGCCGATTTATGAGACCTGAATACATCTGCCTAGTTGTTTGAAAGTAAAACAAAACAAGAGGCTTAAGACGTTAAAAGCATAAACAAAATACATTCCAGGACAGATGCATTTCATTTCATTTCATGTTTATGTGGGTGTTCAATGCATTAATGTAACTGTACAATGCATTGAACACTCACATAAGCATGAAAAAGTGCCAGTCCTCCACGTAAAAAGAGCTATTCGACTTCCCATCCCAATCTCTATATTGGTGTGGCCATTGGCCAATGATGAAACCGATTGGTCATTTTACTCTCCCATCAATCGACGGCTGGCTATTCGCCGACCTTTCCAGCGTCACCACTGCTCAAGCCCACTCACCTGCTGTCGGTGTTTCTCCAGCCGCTTCTGCTGCAGCTGAAGGTGGCGCTCCTTGTTGACATAGGCCTGGTACAACTGACGCTCCAGCAGCTTGAGCTCCTCACTCTCTTGACGTATCCGCAGCCTGCGGGGATTACAGGGGGTCAGTGGAGAGCCTGCAGAAAGTACAGGAAGTCAGTGTGCAGCCTGCGGCAAATAGAGGCTAGCGGACAACCTGCGGCAATCGCAGGTCAACAGGGTGCCTGCCGGAATTACATGAAGTCAGGGTGAGCGCCGGCAATGATCGGGATTCGGGGTGAAGACTACTTTATAAACTCTAATACGGTATCTACGGGATCGTGACAAAACTACATGCTCCTCAACCAAACGCATTCCGTACATGGCACTGGAGAATTGTGGTCCAAGCAAATAGAAAATACAATAAGATCATGGCATAAGATCGCAATAAGAAAGAGTACGGTAATAATCGTTTTTGTTAACATTGTATATGCTCATCAATCATCAGTGCCCCGTTACTACGGAGATTGGTGAACACCGCAGGTGATATCTAAACTTGACCTAACACGCATCTGGTTTACCACCGGAGCGCTCCGCACCTTTCCTTTTCGTCCCTGATCTTGTCATCTCGCAGTTTGGCGAGCTGTTCGGCCAGCAGCGCCTCCTGGGCCGCGCGGTGTGCCGCCTGCTCCCGCTCGTTCAGCTTCTGTGGCGTCGAAAACCCGCAGTTGTAAGGAGGACCAGTACACTGACAGTGGGGTTCGAACTCAAAGCTTAACAAATATATGGAATATGAATGGGAACGTAGGAAGAACACATAAAATGCGCAGATTAAATGTGAGCACTGAAAAGGTCCAAAGAAAGATAGGAACAAAATTTGGTTGTGTCCAAGATTCCTTCATATAGCTGTGCCATCTATTGGCTGGTTAGAAAAGGTCAAAAGCCTTTACCACCGTCATCCAAAGGAGCAGTCACATATCTTGATCCATTAGTTAAACTACATACACAGCAACAAAAAAACAAACTAAACATGGCATTGTAAAAACAGCACAGATTAGATAATCATATCTCATTTCAAAACCATGGTAAAGCAGATCGAGTCATCCTAGAGCGTGTCTGTGACATTGTTCTGACCTCCAGTAGCCTCTGTTCCTCCTGCAGTTCGCCCTGCTGCGTGTATAGCTGATGGTTTAGCCGTCTCCTATCCGCCTTCTCAACAGCTCCTGTGCTGGCCTGTAAAGTGAAAACCAAAACACATAAATGCAGTGCAGAATTCAACAAGATCAGTTCTGCCGAATCGAATTATATGCAATATGACCTACTTTGACGAGCGTCGTGACCTGGGTGGCTGTGAGCTGACCAAACGAACGGCAAGAGGAGGTTCACCCCCTCCCTCCCCCATACGCTAGCAACTAGTAGCACACCAATACGGGCGAGGCATTAGACGACTGCGACAGGCGTTACGCGTTATGGGCCTGGGTCGGGCCAGGTCGGAGCAGGTTGGAATGGTCATACCGATAATTTCCAATTGAATCACAGACAAAAAGCATGGAGCACCCGAGTTTGTACTACACTTGCGGTGTTCTTATCGAATAGGCGGAAACTAGCAGAAGACTGTTGGGCCGCAGGTAAAAGATGGAGCAGGACAAAATGCTCGCCAATGCGAGTGTTTGATCAAGCAGCTCCACCCTTTTAGTGGGTTGTTGCCGTTGTTGTTGTTAATCCTCCTGGGTCCTTACAGAGGACCATACCCTATGGCGAAGGTAGCCGGCCTCCAAGGCGGCCACCAGGTCGGCGTCCCGCAGCCGCGGTGGGTCGATGTGGATGCTGCCCGTTATCCGTAGGCCGGCGCCCGCGAGGGCCGGGCAGCGGAGCAGCATGTGCTCCCGCACGTCAGCTTCATTCCGGCACACGGTGCATAGCGCCGCGGGGCTCCGCTTGTCAGGTACTGCGGGCACGCTGCGGAGGGGAGACGGCCGATTCGGTGCAGGTACTGGAGTGAGCGGTCCCAGTGACCCGCCCTCATCTGGTGCAACGAAACGGCGGCTTCTCGATCCTCTCCGGGGATGGAAAGCGGCTGAGTACTCCCGAAGATCGTCTTGAAGAAGGATTCGGGCCAGTTGTTGCGCCACTAAAGCGAGGCCGCACGATAAATCGCCCGGGTCAGCGAGCGGGCGCCCGAGGGCACAACATCCTGGGGCAGGGCGGCCACTTGTTTGGACTTAGTGGGTAGAGCTGCTGCCTGCCCACTATCTAAGAAAGCCACAGCTTCTGCTGGTGGCAAGATCCGATCAGTGGTCATGTGGTCCAACCGGGGTGTCGGCAAAATGGCCAGTCAGAGGCATCTTTAGGCACAGAAGCCCACTTCATTCAACTGTGGACAGCATAAACCTTGGCATGTCAGTTGGTTTGAATCTTTGTGCCTCATCATGCCTCAGTGTGGTCATAGTGCTTGCTCTACTGCAGAAGCTATTTGTTCCAGCATGTTACAGCTCACAAATTGACAGCTCATCAGGCAGTGCCCACCCTCATCGCCCTAGGGCTGTTCACGGACCCTGTGTGCGGTCGGACCGCACACAGCCTCCAAGCTCCGCCCACTGCGTCCCTACGTCAGCCTTCCGTCACCGCACACAGCGATCGCTGTGGCCGGTCGGGACTGGCCACAGCGGACCGTCCACCGCACGCAGCCGTGACGTCAGAGCCGCCTACCCATCCCCTACCCCCACGCCTGCTGGACGTACCGCACACACCGCACGCAGCAGTGTGCGGCGCCCATGAACACCCCTCCTGCCAATTTTTGTGGCCCAAGATTCCAGAACTTCTGGCCAGAATACTCTGGCTGATGTAGCCTTGATCGGTAGGTTTTTACTTACAAAATTGTCTTCACTTTGGCACAACTAAGCATGCAACATACAGAGCAAATCAGAGAAATTGAAATTGCAGAGCTTAATTGCTTGCTCTGAATTTTTAAGCACGAGGCTCTTGCAGGCATCAAGTGTAGTAGGTACATGAATGTTTTCTAGTATGGTTAATAATGTAAGTGGCCAGGTAGGTATTCAATCAGTGCTCACCTTTGCAAATACATCTTTCCATGTGTTCACTTGTATATCCTTCTCGATGTCATTCTGCTTTTCCCTGTCCTCAACATATTTTTTAATTCTTTTTGCCTCTAATGTTGTCATGTTTGTGCTTTAGCACTTCAACTTTCTTCCGCCTTCCACAACAATACTAAGTGCGGTGGACGTGCGACAATAATCAATACCAACACAAAAACATGTAAACGTAAATAAATATAAGAAGCGCGCGGGCTCTAAAAATGCGAAAATTGCAAATTAGTAGCCGCACTTCTCATCTGTTCAAAACACTCCATTCAAGACTGCGAGCAGAAACCGCGAGCTTGAAGAAATTAATTAACCAATCAGCATTCGGCAATGCACGACGCTGATTGGCCCGATGCTCGTGACGAGTAGAGGGGAATCACAGGGGAAGGCAGTCATTCTCTGCCTATGGAATTTGATAGATGGCGAGATTTTTTCGGTTTTTGTTACAGTTTTTGCTGTGTTCGGATGATATCTTCCTACTATAATCCATTACGGTATTATCATGCCGTGCGGGTGCCACCATGGCGCTGGCCGCCATCTATCTTACCTACTTAAATGTATTTTTGGTTGATTTGACATACATATCCCGTGCATAACTTTTCACCTGCTTCTGCATTTCTGGCTCTATTTTCATCCTTCATGCGTGATCTACCCCAGTCCCCAATCCCATTCATATCCGCCGGCATGACATAACACCACTACCAGTAGGCGCCTAAGCAATAGCCGATATTGATAAATACGGAAATATCTGCATGACCACAAATGATAATGCGGTGTGGTTGAATGACCTACGCTACGGCCATGAGTAGTACGTGTCAACCCAAGTCCAAATAACGCTCAAAACATCATGAAGGTGAAGAAAGTCCCCATCAAGACCCTAAAGGCCTGAAAAGACTCATGGTACAAAATAATTCTAACCCCTCTCCTACGTCACGAGCACCGAACCAATCAGAGGGGTTCATTGCCGAACGCTGACAAGTCCATTTCCACTGGCGGTCATGTGCCGCTCGCGGACACAATACTTGAACAGAGATTGTCGATAATCATCCACGAATGTCTATCTTGGTCTATCTCACTCTTAGCACAACTTTAGCATTTAGAAATGCAGCAGAGTAATAAAGATTGAGATATCGGTTATCCACAGTGATGCGCTGAATGATAAGGAATAAGTGCTGGAATATATTCCATGTAGCATTTTCATAATGAGGATATTACATGTGTAGTCAAATGCCTATTTTCATGCAGGTGCATTGTTTGAGTTGGAGTTCTTTTTCTGACTGCCTTTGAAGCTGATAGTCAACTGCCTGTAACTGCTGTCCTGTCTCCAATAAGAAGATAATGGGACTCCTTTTTGCAAAGTTCTGGAGTTTTTTCAACACAGATGGTGAGTCAGATTGAGATGTGAAATTGGTGTTATCCTAGAATGCATGAATTTTCAATTCAAATGAAATTGTTCGTGAGACAGGCACATCAAATGGGCGTTATTTCACCAACGCTGCCAGCGCACTGTCAGCTCACTTGGCAATTTGGGTTTCCATGGAAACATTAACAAGCCCATAGCTCCAGCACTACTACAAGTATGACGTCAGTTCGTGAAATGCGCTGGCAGTGGCAGGCAGCGTGGTTGTGGGACGTGGAACACTGCCAAGGTCAATCAGACATCAAAGAGAACATGGGCATGACAGTAATAAGTTGTAGTAACTCGGTGGCCAAACTTGAACTGTCAGCCAGAGCCAGAAATAGGCATAACGAGCTCAGAATTGGGCAGATGTAGAGTGAGAGTGATAGCCATGAATGTAAATGCAATGGGTTGTTTAATTCAATTGGTGGAATGGGTGCAGTCAGGATTAGGTTTGTTAAAAGGGTTATGTTTTACCATTGTTTGTAGGTTTTGTCTCTTCAACTGGCCAATTCCCATGTTCAATGGTGCCCATGAATTCCCTTAAAGGTGCGTCAGATGATTATCCTCTCTTTTCAGAGCACAAAATCTTGATCATTGGCCTGGACAATGCTGGCAAGACAACAATAATGTACCAGTACCTTCTTGGAGATACTGTACATACATCCCCAACCATTGGCTCAAATGTGGAGGAAATAAAATACAAGAATACCCAATTTGTGATGTGGGATCTTGGTGGCCAAGAAAGCTTGCGAGCATCATGGAACACCTACTATGCCAACACTCAGGTAAGGAAGTTTACCAAACAAGGAGGGTATTGAAAGGGCATACAGCTATTTGTCTGTGTGTCTAAGCATTGACAAGAGAATGGTAAGAACTAAGAATGGATGCCTATTTTTCGAACTTGGTGGCTTCAGCTCAAAATGTGCCAAAAGATGAGTGTTGAGTAAGTCCTGCTTTTTTCTTTTCTCTTTTTATCTTATTTTCAAGGGTTTGTATCATAAGACGCCTGTTTGTGATCCTGTTTGATATTATAATTAACAATCAGGTACATGAATGAAAAACTTCACATATCAATTAGCAATCAATTGATGTACCTAGATCATTTCCCATCTGATATATTGATTGGTGAATGTGACATGTGTTTCTTGTATCACTTGCTCCATCTCACGGCTAGACAGTCTAGCATCGTTTTATCGGTGAAAAGTGCGAGCTCGCGTCGTTCCGGCGCCCGATGCACAAGTTCATGACAATGCACTTGGACTTCAAATTATTTATGTGACTGGTGGGAGAACCCATAGCCAAATGACATCAGTGGGCAATGGGCATGACTCTTCATGGGCGCTCTCAATTTACGATTGTAAACCCTTCCATCAATTTACCGACTGCTCGAACTCATCTCTAGGAGCAGCGAAAATCATCACCTGAGAAGCAAGCTTCTAAAGCGCAGGCTGGGCTCTGCCAATTGAAATGATAATCATAGCATTTGGATGAACTTCGAAATGCTTTAAAATTACGTTTTGGTAGACATCGACCACGTATACCCTTGCCATGCATGGCTTTAGCCGGTATTGTATAGATACACGCCAGCTGGGAAGACGTTCAGGTGTGCCGAGCATTTTCTGTCTCGACACGCCTGAAATACCGATAAATTACCCGGACGAGGGGATCACCAGCTGCTCTGCCGTGGCTAGCAGTCACGGCAGAACGGCCTATATACGGCCTTGGCTGGCAGCGTATCTCTCGCGCTGCAGATAACCCCACCCCGGCTGACAGTGTGCCGTTGCGTGTGCCGAGCGAGACCGGCTGTTTCGTCACTGGTTTGCGATGCGGATGAACCGATGTTGTTTTGGACTAGAGCTGCGCACCGGGCCTGATTTATCCTCGGATCGTCCAGCTCCCTGTAGGGGTGTTGCGTAAGATGGGCCGAGTGCTGGCTCTCACAGTCGCGAAGGATGTCGGATTTACAGGACCATATGTTCTTTTAGATGTTTGGTGTTTGCCTTATAGGTAATGCTTCCAAATAGTTGAATGACTTTCAACGGAAATTTCTAATGCATCTTATACTGCCGCCGTATCGGTTTATGTAGCTGGATATGACAGGGTAGGTACGTTATATGGGTGAACGTTAATTTAGTTATGTTTGACCGTTTGTGAAACATTTGATTTTGTTTCACATCACTAGCAGGGTTCTGACGTTGTTATCCATTCATGTGTCTTGATTACGTGGCGGTATTTTTAATTTCGTTCCGACATTTGCGATCCGATGGTCGGCCAGCTGGGCTGGTCAGCCTCGCCCGTGGCGTCGGTGTGGGTCGAGCTGGTGGCCCACCCGGCTTACGGCGGACACGGTTCGTGCACGTGACGCCGCGCCCAAACTCGTTCTGTTGGCACCGGACGTGGGCTTATGTAGGCCAGCCTGTGCAGGTTTTACTCCAAGTTACCATTGTTCCGCATGGCTTACTGCTTTTGATCCTTCGGAAACCTGTTACGTTGAATTAACGTATGATATTGAATCGGTGCGAATAAGCACCGGTATCTATTGGTTTCTATGAACTTAAAATGCCGACCATTACTAAGGGATATACGGCTACAAAGCTGTCTGCTTCCATCACGTTCGGTTATGCCAGACACTGGGCCGTTTAGTCGTGAACACCAGCGTCCGGCTGTCAATGTTTCAACTGCCTGAAACTTCCTGCACATGCCTTCCTCCTCTCGGGCGGCTGTCGACTACAACCGGTCGCGCCCATACGGGCCCGGCACGTCGCTAGCCGTGCACGGTCGCCGTTCCGTCACGCAGCCGCGGCCCCGCCGTGCGACCGCGGGCGGGCGTGCCTTTCCTCACCGCCGCGTACGCGCTCGGAACCGGACCGAGCCTGGCTGGCCGAGCCGAGTGTTGTGGCGGAACAAACCGAGACGGGTTTGGCCGAGTCTGGGCGAGGCGAGCCGAAGGAACAGCTGTGGCAGGGTGAATCGCATAGAGTTACGATGTTATGGTTGTGTACTACGCTGTATATAAGTGAAACGATTCAGATGCAGGTGCACTGTAACGCGCTTATTGTTAGTGTTTTGCTCTATGACGTTTCTTTTGTTAGCAAAAAGTTCGATCTCCCAACCAAATCAGCTGGGCTACCTGCACTGAGGCGCTCTCCGTTGGCCCATTCGCTCGTGACCGGGCGCGCCCGCGGTCCTCTCACCAGCAGACACCTGCCCATATAACTGACTGGGCAAGGTCGCTGGCGCCGCCGGCCACCCCGGCGCGGTGAGAAAGAAAGTCAAGGGCACGGCCGGCCAGCTCCAGATAACGACAGTTCGGCGGCTGCAGGGGGCGCGGCTTCGGGGAACGCAGTGCGTTGCCCTGCAACGGCTTCTATCAATGGAAGTGCGATTCGTCTGGCTAGATGAACACAGGCGTGCTCGCCTCTCTTTTTGCGCCGTAGGTGATTGGGCCGGATTAGTCGCTGTTGCTGAGCGGAGACAAAGCCTGCGAATTTAGGCCATGACTGATGGTTGAGTAGGTGTACTGGAGGTGTGCTTGTGCATACCACATTCCTTTTTATTTTTTTTTTCATCTGTAGGTAGTTGATGCATAATTGCGGCCGTGATCCGGTTTGCCAGACTTGAGATAATGTTCATGGTCGCGTCAGTCCGCCGGCTTTTCCGAAAAAAACGGGCTGTGATGGATTTTTTTTATTATGAGTACCAGTTACATGGTAAAAGAAAGTATGTAAACTACTGCACGATCAAGCCTTGTATCATACCCCGACACGAGACCAAACGCTGAAAATGGCAAGAAAATCTAACGAGCCGTTTTCGCGGGGATCAAAATGACCCAAATCGCGGCCGAAACGCTAAACACCCCCTAGAGAGGTAGCTCAGGTTGGGATTTTCAATAGAAAATCACAATTCTAAAGAATAGTGATTGTCTAATTGAAAAGTCCCAACCTTCGGATACATAGACACTACACTGTAGACAGCCGATAACACCAAGTTACGTTGTCGCGGATGAAAATCTGCAATAAGGCTGCAGGTTTTCACCGCACTTCGCGTGCAGCCATGTCGTTTGCGCGGGGTTACTGAATTCCCTGAGCCACTTTTATAACACCACGTTGAACTGCAAGACTACTTTACCACTTGGGTTCCGGCTTTTTACCTGCCAATGAACCAGTAATTAAATCACTGAAGAGACATCTGACGTTTTCCTTTTCTCGCCAGTTCATAATCCTGGTGGTGGACTCGACGGACCAGGATCGACTGCCCGTGGTCAAGGAGGAGCTCTGCAAGATCCTGGCGCACGACGAGCTCGCCAAGGCCTCTCTGCTGGTGCTCGCAAACAAACAAGTGAGTATTCTTTCATGTCATGCCATGCTATCCATGTCATGCCATGTCATACGAGTATATCATTGGATCCCATCCCTTCCATTGATCTTGGATATGCAGCGCCATGGTTTCGCTGAAGCTATGGCTTCGAATGGGTGCAGCAGCCAGCCGGAGCTTGCGTGACAGAGCGTTAATGCATCGTTAGAAGTGATGTTGAGGGTGATTTATTGCAGCTCTAGTGGCGTCGTCCTACTAAATTCCAGAGGTGGAGATCTCGGGGGGGGGGGGGGGGTCGGGGGGTCAGGACCCCCCCCCCCCGAAAACGAATTATGTAAGTCAATGGTACTGCATCCAGCCTGCCTCCATCTGCCCGGCGTGGACCCCCCCCCCCCCCCCCCCCTGAAATTTTGACAGATCTCCACCCCTGCTAAATTCACATGGAACGTCCGCTGATATGTCCTCTGTTAGGTACAGTCACCAGCACTTGCTACCCATCAACCCCGGACGGCGGGGGAGCAAGCTACCACCGCCCTTGCGAGACTAGCGCCGCCATGCGCCAAGAAGTAGAAACACCACGTGACTGAGGCCACGTGAGGGCAGGGTCACGTGATGGAGGGGCGGAGCATAGTAGCTTTTGCGCCCGACACTTACTGAAATGCGGCGCTGTGATTGGGCGCTTTAGCATGAATGAAGCCCCGGCGCCAGAATCAGCCGTTCGCCTTATATGGAAGGTAGGCCTGTGCGTTTCACTGTTCTGTGTTGGTTTGAGAGCCACGGCACCATACGAATTGTGAGCCCCTTTGAACGGGTCACCGCCCGAGGCACTGAGGCGACGGCTGTGCCGGGCAAAGCCTATCCTGGTGGGAGAGGTGGGCCAGGGAAAGTGCGATCGAGCAGCCACACTGAGACGTGGATTGGTATTATCTAACCACGACAAACGATGTCAGCAGCCTCTTTTCGTTGACACGAAAAGTTTGACAGACAACGTGGGCAGTGCCCAATCAAAAGCTACTAAACGATTCAGTTAAGAAGTTGGCGAGATAACCAGACCCAATAAAAAGTTTTTAATTCGATTTTGATTGACAAATGACATACAAGCCCGCTGTGATGGACCAAAAAAGGAGCTAATCAGTTCATTGAACTTCTAAAAAGCTCAACGGTAAAAATTTAAAAGTCAAATGTTAAAATTCAGCCTACATGTTTAAACTCGGGTCCGGCGCTGGCAGGAAGCTTATATTGCCAAGCTTGCAATTCCACTACGTTGTGATATAACCAAGAGTTTTGTGAGAGCAACAACTGAAAGCCTCGAGCCCCGTTGGGGGGAGGGGGCGCGAAACAGCCCCCTCTCCTTTTCAGTCGATATCTCCTAAAGTATAGCGTAGGTCGCCACCAAACTTTCAAGACCCCTCCGGGCATCATTTTACACCTTGTGACCAAATTTTTCCAGAGCTCTTATCAAAGGTTAGTCACAAATGACGTCACAGTGACGTCATGTTCTGCCATTTTCGACCCAATAACAGGTTTAGCGGGAAGAGCTGTCACGCTTACAGTTTTGAAGATAACAAAAAATAGGTATTCAAGATAAAAAGATGCAAAATAAACAGCGCTACAAAACTGTCAACTCTGATTTCTAAACAAAAATTGATTTCGACCATCAAAACTATAGAAGTAGATATAACACCCTGAAAATACCAACAACATTCAAAATTAAAGCTGGAATTTATGTTATAGAACTATCTGCTCTAGATATGCCAAACGTAAGCTCGACAGCTCCATTTTTAGCAAAGTTATGGCAAAAAAACACTACTCAAAATGTATTACGTAAAATTTTCAAACTCAATTTTTAGCCGTCACAGAACACACAGAGCAAGCCAAAGACCACCATTGGATTTCCCGTGATGAGCTGCATCGATTAGATACCCCTTTTCTGCAAAATATCAACTCTGAAATTTAACCATTTTTGACCTGACCTTGACCTGACCTCCACCAGAACGTAATCTAAACCGGCCCCAATGGCCGTCTAGCCCACACCATTGAATTTTAAATGTAAAATTGGCCATAAACATGTATCACGCGACCCTAGCAATTAGCATAGTTGGGTTCATATTGTGACCCTTAGTGACCTGACCTCTTTGACCTGACCTGGCATCAGGGACCTCTTTAGGCAACATATGTATTGGGCAACCACGCTCCATCGATGTTTTTCGATAACATGCCTTTTATTTGATGTGTTAACTGACTGTAACGCATTCCTTAGACTAAATCGGTGAAAAAATGCAACCTTTGACCTGACTTGTGACGTCATGGGTTGCACCTAGGTCAACGAAACCTGGTAACAAGGTTCGATAGCCCCTTTTGGGGCTATCGAACGTTCTTCGAATTTTCAAAATCGGTCGGTAACTTTCCGAGATCTCAGGTGGAGGACGAAACGGCTGCACCACCCCATCAGGTGGTAGGGTCCGCCAATAGCCCAACGGGGCGCGAATTATTTACTCATTCATACAGTGTCATCTATTTTGAGAACAACTTTCTCACGCCATGACATGGTCCTCTCGTAATAGATCGAGATGAGGAGAGTGTTTTCACGCCTCCTTATGCACGGCTCTAGTGTCATTGAGCTATCAACTGTCAGCGGTTTTCGGACAATGAAGGAAGGCTTTTGGTCGTTTTTAGGTAAGATCTTGGGTCAGATCATTTCAGTGGCGGATCCAGAGGGAGGACATGGGGGCCATTCTCCCCCCCCCCCTTGGGCCTCCCGGGGGCCCATCACGGAGTTTTTTTATTTCATCACGGAGGTCACCGACGGGAGCTTTAACCCAGAGGTCTCCTAAGGGGGCACCATCCAGAAGGTCTATCGGAATAGAGTACCGTTTTCGGGGTCTCCCGGAGGCCCATTTCTGTCCCTCGCCTCGTTTTTTTAGTTTAGTTGAGTTTCTTTAGTTTTTAGTTTAATATTGTCCATCTATTTCCATCCCGAGGTTCGCGGGGGCACCATCTCGAGTTCTCAGGGGGCACTATCCGGAGTTCTCCGCAGGCACCATCCCAAGGTCGGAGAGGGCTTCATCTCGAGGGTCCGGGGAACCATCCTGATCCCAAGGTCTCCGGCGGCACCATCGCGAGGTCTGGGGGCACCATCCCGAGGTCTCCGGGGGCACCATTCCAAGTTTCCAGGGTCACTTTTCCGAAATCCGAGGTGTGAAGGAGCACTCTCCCCGGGTCTGAGGGGACACCATCTCGAAGTCTCAGGGGCACCATCCCAAGGTCTCAGGGGCACCATCCCGAGGTCTCAGGGGCCGTTTGATCCGCGCCGTCCTGGGGGGGGGGGGGCGTTTTACGCCCCCCTAGGTTTTTCGCGAATATCTAAAAAAATGGCGACGCGTAGCACCGCTGTTTTAGATACACCCGTTCCGACATCTTTTTCGCACATGCTATGAAAATTTCAGATCCCGGTCATTCAAGGTCAGGTCACCATGTAACGTCAAGTGACCTTACCTCAGAAAAAGTTAGAAAGCTCGCTCTAGCTACACCGACTGAGCGATCACTTTGAAACTTTCAGTACTTGCTTAGGGTAACAGTATGTATAAAATGGATATCTCGGATTTTTTTATATCTGTGAGTTGTGACCTAAGGTCAGGTCAATTTTGCGACTGCTCCATATATAAGTTAATGGGAGAAAATTGAAATGAGCCTCTTTGGGCCGAATGTCGTTCTACACCCTCTCAAACATCGGTTCATATGTAAACATGACACTCTGAATCGAAAATTGCACCTGTGCCCCCTTTGTGTGCCCCTGAGGTCATCTCAGGTCATGAAAGGTCTTCAGCAGTTTTTTTTACTATAACTTTTGATTTGACAGAGACGTGCTAGAGCGGTGAAAACACAGGGGCTAAACCGTTGATCTGAGGTCAAATTTGAGGTCAATCAGAGCGGTGCCCTCTGGGGCTAAACCGTTGATCTGAGGTCAAATTTGAGGACAGGTTGGCGAAAGAGCGTTAAAAGAGCTATCGAATGCGCTTTTCCACGGCGCTGTAGCTCTATTGGTTCCAGAGCTAGCCGTCGGATGTTTAAAATCGTTGAAATCGACGAAATTTGACCTTTGATGAGCTCTGGTGACCTGACCTTTGCCCTGACCTTAAAATGACCGAGTGTTTTCCTTCTTATTTTTGACGCTCTTTCGATTGCCGCTTACTGCGTGTCGCTACGTGGCCCATGGGAGCCGAGTTAGACGGAGGGGCGTGAAACGCCCTCCCCCCTCAGCACTCGACGGAAAGTTCATGCCACCAACACGGCGCGGGTGAATTGTTATGTTAGCTAGCTCCTGTTGTAAGCTGTGGAGTCGTGGACCTGATCTTGAAGAACTGGGCCTAACATTTTCATTGCAAACGTAAAAAAATGTTTCATAGGTGATGCAAAAAATATCATCTCTTTTATGAAATATTTGCAAAACCCTCAACATCATCCCCATTAGTGCCGAGCTCCCAACGACGACCATAAAAACGTCCCCATCCCGTCAGCGTGGGTTTATCATAAGGGTGCTAAGTTTTAATTTCCAATCCGAAGCTGAAATGATGGAAAACAAATTTACATTTTACATACGAAACAAGCTGACACAACTAAATATTTTCTCTCTCGCTCCCTCTCACTGATTCACCCATTACCCTCTCTCTCATTTTACCCTTCCTGGTTTTCCTTTTCCGTCTCTCTTTTCTCTCCTCCCGTCCTTATCCCTTCCCTCCAGTCTGTCTTCTCTCTCTCTCTCTCTCTCTCTCTCTCTCTCTCTCTCTCTCTCTCTCTCTCTCTCTCTCTCTCTCTCTCTCTCTCTCTCTCTCTCTCTCTCTCTCTCTCTCTCTCTCTCTCTCTCTCTCTCTCTCTCTCTCTCTCTCTCTCTCTCTCTCTCTCTCTCTCTCTCTCTCTCTCCTCTCTCTCCCTCTCTCCCATCTCTCTCCCTTTCCCTCCATCTCCCTCTCTTTCTCTCTATCTCCCTCTTTCTCTTCCACTCTCTCTCTCCTCTCTCTCCTCTCTCCCCTCTCTCTCCCTCTCTCTTTCTCTTCCACTCTCTCTCTCTCCATCTCCCTCTCTTTCCCTCTCCCTCTCTCCCTCTATCTCCCTCTTTCTCTTCCACTCTCTCTCTCTCTCTCTCTCTCTCTCTCTCTCTCTCTCTCTCTCTCTCTCTCTCTCACTCTCTCTCTTTCCTCACAATATTCTCGACTGCCACAGCGTTGTAGAACTTGTTTCCAGACAGGTCCAGGCGCTCCCCACTCCGCAAGCCCCAGCCCACACGGCTCAACCGCCCAAACACCCTCCGGCGGATGACCTCCGACTTCGGCGACCTGACCCCAGCCGACCGGACCGATCGCGTCCCTCTCCACGCCTCCGCCCCGCTTCCCCCACTACAACTGCGTAGTAATTGTAGCGTGTGCAAAGGTCACGTGACATTATTTACTTCTGCGGTTTCTTCGGCTGACAAGAGATGGCACTAGTGGTCTGTGGATCAGAGGCGGGGCTAGGTTCTACGACTTCTTGGGGCAACTTTAGGGCAGAAAAGACGTTTTTTGGCTCCTCATCCCAAAATGTTTCGAACATACAAAAAGAAGTTAGATATTCGAAAATCGGAGGACCAAACCGATCGTTTGACGTATCTTGCTCGACTGAGAATTGATCAGTCTTCAAACTACTGAGCAAAAACGAGGTGATTAGTAGCAAGTGCTGGTGACTGTACTTGTCACGAGGATGACTAGTTTGATACTTGCTACTCAAGTTTGTTACAATCGTCATTCCACGATTTGGAGGTCATTTCCACGTCATATATCATAGTCAAGTACTACTGGAGCCGAACCTTCAACTGCACTCGCCCTAATTGCCAACTGACATTTACACCACCCCGGCGTCGTGAACGAGAGAATTCTACAGCATTGGCACCTTCATTTCATTGGGTGATTGATTGATTGTCGGATGCTTGGTCCCGTATACCTATTTGTAGCTGATTAACTGTATTTCCCGTTTGTAAGTTAGCTGCATTGTTCAATTCATTATGTACATATGACTTAAAATATTTAGTCATCACGCATAATTACAGCACATGTTAATGTGGTTATCTATAAATGAAATCTTCGTTTTTCATTCTATTAAGGGCAGAAGGGCCAATATTTTGTTCTCTTCCTTTTCATCACCCACTTCGTTTTAAATTACAATTTGTAATATTGTACCGGAGTTATAGTACATTGTGGGTGCACAAATTTGAAATTACAGTCCCATTCGTCAGACTGAATCAGCCGCATTAACCATACTCCCAGTTCCTTAGCTCTTATCAGCTAAAATGCGACGACTCGTCTCGCCGTTATCGCAGTCATCGTGTCATCCTCCGAAAATATGCGGAAATGTAAGTTTCAGCACATCAAGAAACTCGCAGACACTTCTCCGCTGTCCCATAAAGTGTATAGCATTTACGCATGGCAAAGCAGGGTAGTATAAGATAAAGTGGCGTTACCAGTCCATCCACCACATACCAAACAGATGTGTTCGTTTCTTCCGTACCCGCTGATATCATTGTCCCCGTCCAACCCGCACGCACTGCTATCGTGCCCTGCGAGCTCAGCACTGACTCTGCCACTGACGCTGCTACTGATGCCGACTCCCCGTTTGATGCCGACTCCCCGTTTCAGGACGTGAAGTCGGCCTTGTCGTCCGCGGACATCAGCCGCGAGCTGAACCTCACCTCACTGAAGCGCCACCACTGGCGGATACAGGCGTGCTGCGCGCTCACCGGCGAGGGGTGAGTACCCAGTGGTGCGCCGTTTGGCGCAGAGTCCTGTGTGCTGACCCGTCTTCTGTATACCTACCGGTACTTATGCCTTTGCCGACCCGGTGCCTGTCGCCCTGAAACCCAGCCTTTTCTCCAACCCAGCCTATTGTACCGAAACCGTTATGTTGTTAATCGGGAGCGGAAATATTCACTGTAAATTCGCACCAAGCTGTTAAGCCAAAGCACAGTTGAAGCAACCAGAAACCCCAGGAAAGTCGTGTAAAACAATGATTTCGATTATTATTTCCACTTGCGCAGATGTTTTTTTTTCCGCTGTCTGTTCGGCCGTAGAGTTCATGAGTCGAAAGGTCATGGTTCATCTATATTATGCTCATATCAGTGACGCGAGCGATAGCTATGCTCATATCACTGGTAAATACACTCGTGATAGCGAAGAGATTATTGTGCACACAAAACATGAAAGATTGACAGAGAAGCGTTGGCTTCTGTTTTTGTTCGCATACATGCCTTTGAAGAACATACGATAGTAAGGAATTTTAGTTACTTTAATCGCTTTTTCCACCTAAGTCCTTTCTTCACTTTTGGTATCAATTGCATCCCCTTATCCGTTGATTTCCGCCTCGTCTCCATGTCTCGTACTTTATTACATTATCAAGAAATCAAGTCGTTACATTACTGAAAATATAATTGCATTTATAGTGGGTAGGTGTTGAATCCGAGCTTCATTCGCATCTCTCGTATGCCAATACCACTCTTGCCCAGTACGATTGAGTAGGCAGATACTTATAAAAGTATACTTCAGTCATAACAGACGTGAAACAGATGTGTTCGTTTCTTCTGTACGCTCCAATGTCATTGTTTATGGGGACGGTGTAATTTAAAGATGATCTTTTAGGCAGTCATTTCCACCTAGTGCACATGGATCTATTTCGTATGTTGCAGATTAAACCAGGGAATGGAATGGATATGCGACCGAGTGCGAAACAAATGACTGTCATCTTCTCGACATCGTTTAGAAGTTGGCGAATCGCTTTGGGCGGTTTATTTCTGCCTGATGATATCATCGGTTTCTTCTTTTATTGACGTCGCTGAAGTCGCCATGACGACCGGTGACGTATCCGTCTCTTCTCTGTGCTGCATGTGCTCCGCGATTCGCGGAACGAGGTGTGTTATGCGACTGAGGCACTCCTGAACCGCGGATGCCGTTTTGTGGCCATGACCGACGACAATCATGTGCCCTGAAAGGGCAGCGAACGATGGTTCAGCCGGGTCCGGCCCGTGGAGCTTCACTCACGCTCGATATTCTCCGCCGGCACGCGATGCGACGGTCCACGTGCTAATTGTGTCTTCCCTGCGCTATTTTCTGGAAATTTGGTCCGAGTTCGAGGAGGAAATCTGTTGCGAGGGAATGTCTGCGTCGCCGTGACGACTCATTCTGTGTTTGTGTTTCGTTAGCACTCGTGAATGTCACGCGTGGTGGGACAACGTGAAATGTAAATGTTCGTGAAGCTAGACCGATTGCATGTAGCCACAGCAACTATCCAAGAATGTTCGAATTCATGCAAGGTGTGGCAAGCAAACATACTTTTCTCTCACTCTCGGAAGTCTCAGAACATATGGGCAGTTTTGGGCCCTGTTTGTCACTGCATGAATTCCAACGCTTGCCATCATGTCAAGTGTGCTTTGTGAAATTGGCCAATTATCTTAAGTCGTCCTTCGCAGCCGCGGTCCTGATTTCCTTGTGTCCAGTTGCCTCGGCACGTATTTCCGACTCAGCTGCCCAGGTCAAGCTACCATTTCCTTCGCTCTCCCTGGCCGTTTCGGACAGTGTTGCACGCTGCTGAGATGTCTGGAGTTCGAGTTACCGATGAAGCGCAGGGTCTCGGACTCTGTTTACGTGGCCCATCCGTCCGAGCCGAACCGAGACGGGCGGCCCTGCGCGAGCTCCGCCCGGGTTCTGTCCAGCGCTCCTAGGGTTTCCTCACTCCCACTGTCCGCCACCAGCGCGGGTGGGTCTTCAGATGGGAACGACCCCGGTCAACCTCCGGATTCCGTCAAAGCCCGACGGGTTATCGCACCCCGCTCGGCTCCGTACTTTCCACAGTCCTATCCCGGAGCCGCGTCGGTTCGAATCGCCCCAGAGTCGCGGGGTTACCCCGACGGGCCCGGACCCTAGTCGACACGAACTGATCGCCGGCGACCGCCGGCGCACCGAATGTGATAGCTAGAGAGGACGCGCCATGTGATCGTGTATAACTGTGGTCTCGCTGTAAATATATCCATATTGCATCCATCGCGCCGGCCGCCCGCGTCAACTGATAGGGATTTAGCGTTGTAGGGCAGGCGCCGGTTCCCGGATTTTCCGATGTCAGGTCCGAACACAATAAAGTGCACTTGATTTTTATTCCGGGTCCACCCGGGTGTACTGTCACGGTTCGCTCCGCGCTAGGCGTCGTGACCTTGGTTTTAGTTCCGTCGAGGATTGCTCACACCTATCTTGGGCGGTCTTGTCCGTGAAAAATATTATTTTTCCATTATGTCGATGTTGAATGACAAATATAGGTCATACCAGTGTCTGTCTTTTTTAGCACCGGTCTTCAATGCGTCAAAAGGATAACACCGTCTATGTCATAACTGCTTATTGTTAAATATTTTTAGCAATAGTGGACTATCTGCATGGCATCACGCAACTACGTGGCATTTTTTGGCCATGACTGCTGTATGGGTCACACCTGCTTCCGAGTTCAACTTCCACTGCGACAAAGATGAAGTTAACTGAGTTGAGTCAGACTACTTTGAACTTTGAAGCGTTAGTTATCTGAACTTCAATGGGTCATTTAAACTTGACTTGCATTGGATAGCGCATAGTCCGATAAGGTTACATCTCAGCTTATTTAAACACAATGCGTTTCGATGCGACTTATTTTTCGACGTCGATCCTCACATGTCATCATCCATAGATAACATGATTCATGTTATATATGCATCACTAATTCACACGGTCATGAGTAAGCAACTTGTTATGAAACAACTGATTTTGGGTCTACCAAAGTGTCAAAATGACGTTCAAAATTGCGATACGCGGTTGGTATCATGCATAAATAGTTATATCTTTCACAAGACGTTGTAAATCTGGCTGCACAAGAAATATAGTAAGCAGCATGATCATTGATAATACCGGCCAACAGCAGCCAACTGATTTTGCCCAGTGTTATGGCACGACGGGCCAATGAACCTAACCGTCTTATCTCGCGGTGCGGCCGTCCGCCTACGACGGGGATCGCAGACCTACATAGACCTTATGACTATTATCAGAAATGTTTCCCCACTGGATTGCCATTTGCTGATTTTTCTTCTAGGAGTGAAAGGCTGAATGCACTCTACTAACCAATTATGTATGCATGTATGAATGACTTCTTTCTTAGATGTACAGGGTGTCTCAAAAGTTCGTTCACACATTTCCCATGCCAATAAAGCATATAAGAACCGGCCAAAAGTATAAGGTTTTGGTGTCTGTGTGTACACCAGACAAATATGCATGCTTTGACAACTGATTAAGAAGGTTGGAAACCAACCCCTTTGCTGTATCTCCAAAAATATTTGCCCATACCGATTTTTGTTGCTCCGTCAGCTGCCGGAGGCTGATAAAAGGTTACCAGCTTTCAAGCTCTTGCAGGGGAATCCCCTGCAGTTTCTGCGTCGGATTTAGTTTTGACTAGCTCCCCGGCAACGTCTGATTTTCCCTGAAAGCCGACAGCTTGCATCGACACCATTCTTGAGTATTTTGTAGGCATTCTCTGGCGCTAACTCCTTCATGAATGACTGGCGCCGACATCCCAAGCGCCATTTTCCTTTTCAAAACGACCCCAGTCCTGAACAAACGGGAAGTACCAGGAGTAAATTTTTCACATCATATGGTAGCAGAATGTGTCGGACGTCTGTTTCTCAGACACATTGTGCAAATTTTGCAAATTCCAAGCGCTCGTCATTCCCCATGCCAAGACCTTTGCTCGGTTGCGGAGTGTTTTCCTCGGGAGATGTTCTGCTTTGTAAACGGCCCAAACCTGTCCATCGTGTGGTTTTATCGGGATTTTGTGTTTAAAAGAAAATTATTCGCTGCAGATCTGCCTCTTGAAACTTCGTTAGATAAAATTTTACGATAACTGACACTTTTGGAGGGTCAGGTGTCCTTGGCATTGACGATTTTTGTGTTACTGTCCCCAAAAATTAGCGTTATAGATATTATAAACAATTTTAAATTATAATTTGTCTTTATTTTACGATGACCTGCACTTTTTGAAAATGGGTAACCTCTGTCTGTGACCTTCTTGCCAGTTTTCAATAGTTATGACCGCATTTTCAGCTGCTTTCCGGAACACGAGTCTGCTGTCGTGCGAGGGTCGTTCAAAACGCCGTTAGTCTCGCATGGTTTCGTCCTTCAAAAATTTTAGCCACCGTTTTTATGAGATGATCATCATGTTGCACTCATCCTCGCCGACACTTAGCCATGTGTCATTTCCGACTTAACCATTCCCATTACTCCTGAAACAGAGAGTTTCACAACATACCCGACTTTGCAACCTACATTTTCGTGCCTGACCCATGGTCAGAGGTGAACCCTTTTTGTGAGCTCATGAAGGGTCGAATGCACTTGAAAACAATGAGACTGCTTGAGGAAGGTTGTCACCAATGTCCATGCAAAATTTCGACCGTTAATTTCTTGTTGATTCAGAATTATTGATAAAAAAGCATGGCTGGTACCTGTGAACGAACTTTTGAGACACCCTGTAGTAGAACAGTCATCCGCTGCTTTCAGCAATGACTACTTTGGCTCTCTTTATTTATTAACCGGTTCCCGCACTTCTTTTGCTTACTTTTTTTTCAATTTTCCTAGCTGGGAGTGCCGCGACTTATCCTTTTTTATTTTTGTCTGGTGTTAACCCGCGCCCCGTAGGGGGGGCCGAAACGGCCCCCCCCTGTCCTTTTCGGTCGATATCTCCTAAACGGCTGGAGATATCGCCACCAAACTTTCAGGACCCCTCCGGGCATCAATTTTACACATTGTGACCAAAAATTTTTCCAGAGGCTATGATAGGTTGGCCACAAATGACGTCAGAGTGACGTCATGTTCTGTCATTTTCGACCGAAAAAAGACCTTCGCGAGAAGACCTGTCAGGACTACAGCTTTGAAGATACAGAAAACTGATCAAGACATAAAAGGTGTAGAATTGACAGGGCTACAAAACTGCTATCTCGAATTTTTGAAACTTTTGAGTTTTGACCCCCAAAAATCAAAAAAGCATTTTTTTTGGATATATTCGCCAAAAAATCCAAAACGTTTTTTGAGTTTCGAAAAAAACGGAATATATGTGATAGTGCCTACCGTCTTCTATCTACATACCAAATTTCAGATCGATACCTCGTTTTGTGGCCAAGTTATAGCGAAAAAACTGTTCAAAAATGATGACGTCAAATTTGCAAACTCAATTTTTGGCAATTCTAGAACTCGTAGAGCAAAACGAAGACCACCATTAGACTCCCCGTGACGAGTTGCATCGAATCGATACCCATTTTATGCAAAATATCAACTTTGAAATTTGACTTAATTTGACCTGACCTTGACCTGACCTTCACAAAAACGTGACCCAGGCTGGCCCCAAAGGCTGCCTAACCCACATAATCGCATTTGTCATGTAAAATGGACCATAAAACATGTATCACACGACACATTCATATTGTGACCCCCGGTGACCTGACCTCACTGTGACCTGACCTGGTATCAGTGACCTCAGATAGTAAAGTATGTGTTTGACGAACAATGTACCATCGATGGTTTTCAATAAATTACCAATTTACTCGCTTTCACAGCACATTTCTTGAATTGCCTGTGAACGGTGAAAATCTGACATTTGACCTGACCTGTGACGTCATCGGTTTGACCTAGGTCAATGAAATTTGGTCACAAGGTAGTTCCCGGGTGGGGCTATCGAACGCCGTTTGAATTTTGAAAATCGGCCGGTAACTTTCCGAGATCTTAGGGGGGGGGGGGCCGAAACGGCCCCCCCCCCTACGGGTGGTAGGGTCCGCCGGTAGCCCTACGGGGCGCGGGTTAAAGGGACAGTATCACCATTTTGATGAAATTTGACATTGCATAGGCCCCACCTTTCTGGTCCGGGAACTGAAGACCGATCCTCGAAGCTCCACACCGTTATCCCGCTATCGCCGCTCAAAGTACGAAAGGTGTACCACACTTTGAATCGTGCTTCACTATCTTCACTGTTTAAATGTTTGCGCCGTTTTGAATTGACCGCCAGTAATAAAACTTTTACCCTGGTCATTTCATCAAATTTTATAAAGCCAAAACGTTTTTCGCACTTATTCATCACCGTTAAATTCATTAAATAGTCGTAGGCAATTTCCGCTGTTTCCTTCGGATTCTAGCGGCTCAACAAAGGAATTCCTCCAGCTTGAATCACAATCTCCCTCCAATGTATGACGTTTATCACGTGATTGTCACGTGATATTTTCTCCCATTGTCAATTGTCACGTCCAATTGTCACTCCCTCCAATTGTCACGTTATATTTTTATAGGCAATACCTAAGGCTACCCCTCCCTAAGGACAACTCAATCAGAAGAACGACCGCGTAAGCGTAGCGTCAATAATGTATTATCTGCGCCAGTTCTGTAGTAATTTTGCATGCTTCCAAACTGGCGGACATGCTTGTATAGTGGTGGTTCGCTCATGAAAATGAATCATGAAAATGAAATGTGGTTGCAATATTTTTCACCAAGTTCGGTCCTCAAACTATGTTTTTCTGATTCAGAAAAATAAGAAATGCTAGTAAAAAAAAACATCAGCTCCATACATGGATTTTCTTTTCGATGATACTGTCCCTTTAACGTAAGGTGCTGTGAGTCGCTGGGCTGAGGGTGGGGGCACTCCTGGTCACCTAATAATGGGTGGCGGAGTAGTTCGAAAAAAAAGAAATAGCAGACATTGCGATCTGACCCAGTTTGTTAACAATTTTTGATTCAATGGGTCCATTTGCAGCGCCATTCTCAGCCATCGATGCATTTTTAGCCTGAAGTCAAGGAACAAACTGACTCTTTTCGTTTCCTCCATCCTACCGTGCGTGAAAATACATCGAACAAGAGTGCGGAGAACGGGACTTGCGAAGATCTTTCGAAGGTCCCAAAAAAAAAAGAGGCTAACTTCAATATATCATGTATTGTAATGTTAATCTCATGTACGATCTACCCATCGCAACGCCACACAGCTTTCACTATCACAGTGTTAAGTTTATTCCATGTACCCCAAAGTACGAACGATATAACAAAGCGGTGATAACTGGCCGCATTCTAACTGTTATCGCTTCCGAACACCCTCGCTTTCCTGATCACAAACCCTGAACAGAACCTGCATGTGTCAGACATATTCATGTCCCACTCTGACAGAGTCTTCACACAACTATAATGCAGCCTGTTATAACCAGGCATGCGGCACTTACTCGGTGGTCAGGCAGAGTTCAGTTTTATTTCACTCACTGGTTGCTCGGGTTCCCTCAGGCAGCTAGACCTTCTGCACTGTGTCATACAGGTCGAGTCGGCGCTGCTTTCCTAGAGGGATGTTCTCTCTGATTCGCTTCAGTTCCTCCAGATCTGTCGGGGAATCGGATAAAAATGCGTCATTAGGTGGTAGCATTTATACATGTATGGCGGAACGAGGATGACGGGGGTAGTGTGTCTCATCTGAGAATAGGAACCCGAACATCAACGTCAGTCTGCTAGGCTCTGTATCAAGGGTCGTGATGTGGGCGAGAATTGCACCTAGGAAGCGTATTTAAAATGCATGGAATCGTCATTCGTCACCAATCTCCAATTTGCAATGCAATAAACACTGAAGCCGCACTCGTTTGCTCAAGTTCCCAGCTGCTATGCATCTTATTATGAAATTTCATTTTTTTCCATAGTTTCCCTTGCGGTGGAAGGACAACATACCTATATCGGCGTAGATGACGGTTTCGTCCGCCTCGGTGGAGGCCACCACGTCTCCCCAGGGCGAGGCCACGAGCGAGTGACCCCAGGCCACATACGAGGCGGTCGTGTCCCTCGCTGGCGACACCAGCGCGGTGTACACCTGCGACAGAGCACGCAGACACGGCTGAGAGACTGCGCGGCTGCAAGGTCCGACGTGGCAGGAAACAATGCAAAATCCACTGATAACGCTATCAAATGGACATAGTGAAAGTGGACAAGACTGCACAATGCACACGGTTGAATGTTGCATACCGTGTGGCTGGCTACGTCATAGGCTGGACAATTGATGTAATGTGGCGCGTTGAATTCGTGGGGTGCCCTTACGGAGTACTTAGCAGTACTTAGCATTGGAATTTGGAATGCTGGAGGAAAACTAATCGGAGTTTTCAGGGGTTGTCTGTCACGCCAGTGGCGCCATCTGAAAGGCGACGCCACCTGCCGACGGTTTCCGAACATTGAAAGAGTTTGCAAGTCGGTCGGCAATTCTTTTACTACTTTGAACCACGATTGAGAGTCTGGGACTATTGTACCTTGCAGTATGGTAGTGGCTGCTGTCAGGATCGCCAGCATATGGTCACATTTACATTGTGCAAGCATTGCAATAGTTAGCGAGCGTTCCATGACAGAACTGCAAAAGAAATTGTTGCACCGAACTCACCTGGTTATCGACGGAGCGGGCTCTGGCCAGCAGTTCCCAGTGCGCCGGTCCCGTGGTCATATTGAACGCTCCAGGGTACAACAGCAGGTCACATCCTGCAAAAAAAAACGAATTCAAGCATATCGTGAGGTTTGTCGGTGTTACTTCCATGCCTTAAGGATATCGAAAGGATGAAAGTAATGAAGTTAATGCATCCAAACCTTGGTAAATGCAACATGAAACAATGATTGTTTTACACGGCAGGGGAACTACGTTGTTGCTTTCTTATACAGAGTGAGGCGAACTGTTGGGCACTATCCATACGCAATATGAGCTCGTCATCTAAGTTCAGCTTGCCTTTCCATCGCATAAACATTGCTTGCTTTTATTTACGGTTGATAACAATCACGTACTAAATATTGTTTTCTGCATATCCCACATATTACGATAGCGCTGCCAGTTTTGATACCGACCCTGCCTGGCGTAGAGTGTGGCCATGTCACTGAAGCGCAGGTCGTAGCAGATGCCCAGGCCGACCCGGCACCAGGGCGTGCTGAAGGTGGTCAGGGACGCGCCCGCCGTCAGCGTCTCAGACTCCTGGAACCGGATCTTGCCCGGGATGTCGATATCGAACAGATGCACCTGGTGAAAGAGGCGGCGATCGGAAATGTGGGTGTGCAACCTAAATAGTAACAGAAAAGGTTTGTGCTGCTGTAATGCGTGCCTGCGAGGACATCACAACAATCTGAACGGCAAAGTTCAGTGTTCACTGAAAAGTAATTGATACACGGAAATCGATAAAGCGGACTAATCAGTACAAATAACTGGAAGAGTATTACATTTTCGTGTCCTTTTTTAGTTACCCTTGGACTCGACAACCGGAAAATGAAACTAAAAACGCGACCAAAATGGCGCATGGAAAAGACTTGAACCGCAGTGAGCGGCTCCCGCCAGTGTCGATGTGAATTGTGACCGACAGGTCTACAAAGCAGACCTCGATTACTAATGCTCTGCGGGACTTTTACCACTAATTTTATCAATCAGTTGACAGATAAAAGTCGACGTTTCCACGACATGGTCGCTGAGGCACAACGCCCGTCGCCCGACGCAATCCGCTCACCTTGCGGTGTTTGGCGACCAGGCTGCCATCTGGCGCCCAGACCGTGGCGGTGTTGTACAGAGTCTCTCCCGCTCGCTCCGGTATGGATCCACCCACCAGGTGCACGCTGTTGTCACGTGCCATCTCGGACAGAGCTTTGCACGATGGTCCATCAGGCACGCTCTCGGCATATTCTCCGAAATATTCTGGAAATGTCCATAGATATGTAAGTAACTAACATATAGCAATCAGAACCCCATAACATAAATGGGACTTTAACATCTTCCTTTTCATCTATTTGTCCAGCTTTGGAGACAACATGCCCTTTCAGCTCTCTGAGCTCTAAGCTAAAGGAAGCTTACATATGACATGACATAAATGTAGATTAGAACAAGTACCTAATGAATTCATGATGTTGGCAAAGTGCTTATTGGTTAGGTGTTCTTATGAGGGGCTGGGTTCACCATGACTCATGCATGCAGTGGCAGTTATCATCTAGCACTGAGGTGCTCATGACTGGCAGCATTTTTCAGAAATAGTTATGCACTTTTTACAAAGACAAGAACACTAAATTGAAATAACCACTAATTATCATATTTACCCATTGTATAACTCAATCACATCCTAATCAACAAAGTCACAATGACCCTTTGTGACCTCACTAATGATCTTAACTGGATATTTGACAGAAAGCAGAGCTAACAGTAAGGCCACCTCAAAGCAACCATATATGGTAAAAGTGAGCACAAAACTTACGAGTTCCATATGGTGAGTTGAAGCACTCTGGCAGTGCAACCATCTGAGCACCTCCAGCAGTGGCTTCTTTGACCATGCGAGCAGCCCGCGAGAGATTTTCCTGTTTGTTTGCACAAACTGATAACTGGACTAGTGCCAGCCTGAAACCTGCAATCATAGGTAGGTACATCAACATGTGTCAACATAACTAGGTATTAAATAATCAATTATTTTAACATCTGAGACTTGAGAGGATATACAACTTCAAATGAAGGCATTCTGATACAAATGACTAGTAGGTACTAGGTAAACACCCTAGACAAGACATGAATGAAGCAATGACACCGAAGATGAAGGTGGCTTTTGTAGGTAACAACTAACAAGTATTAAAAATATCAAATTTAAATGGACAGTGCTGTGGCTTTGGACTTAAGAGTCCTTCCAGGAATAGGCATCTTTACATCATTTTAGACTACCTATAGTGCAAGGCTGTATATCTATAAATGTATGTCAACAGATCAAGATGACTCATTACATGCAATGTCATTGTGCTCATACCAGATTGAGATATGTAAGATTAAAGTGACTATCCTACCCTGAAAAGGTTAACATATTGGCCTAAAATTGAAGTTGATGCAGGTAGTTTGATTTCAATTAAAAAAAACACACACACACAGATGACATAGGTTTTAACGGTCCTTACTTGTACTCCTTCATTAAACATTTCAATTTGTTTAAAGGGACCCTCCCACCTTCAAAAAAGTTAATGAATTGGCACGAAAGTGATGTCGCTCGGTTCAGAAAGAGCGAAAACGAATATCTACCAAATTTCATCGAAAAATATTCACCGGTTTTCAAGATATTAGACTTTTACTTTTGTTTACTTTTTGGGATCTCCGCTGTTCCTAGCGACTTTATTTGAAAGTGCGGCATTTGTTGCGCGCAAAGCAGCATATACCACCGCGTGCTACCAAACGTTTTAGTAAAAGATTTAAAAACCGTTAGATCTCCGCTGACGTCACAAATTCTAAGGGGGCATACCAATGCACTAGCCCCTTAGAATCCGAAAACTGCAAGTTTGAAATTCCATATCTCCGAATTAAAGCATTTGTCGATGTTGTGAGTGCCCAAACCGGTATTTGCAGGCCATGGCCACCAATTTGGGATTCCAGGACAAATCTTCGTATGGCATTTCTTCGTCGCGCAATTCTTCGTCCGCATTTCTTCGTCCGCAAATCTTCGTCGGCGCATTTATTCGTGTCGCATAACTTCGTCTCGCATTTCTTCGTAAGCGCAAATATTCGTAGCGCATTTTTTCGTATCCGCATTTCTTCGTACGCGCATTTCTTCGTCAAGCATTTTTTCGTCCACGCATTTCTTCGTCTACGCAAATCTTCGTCCGCATTTCTTCGTCCACGCAAATCTTCGTCTGCGCATATCTTCGTCCGCAAATCTTCGTCCCCGCAAATCTTCGTCCGCAAATCTTCGTCCGCATTTTTTCGTCCACGCATTTCTTCGTCTACGCAAATCTTCGTCCGCATTTCTTCGTCCACGCAAATCTTCGTCCCGGCAAATCTTCGTCCGCAAATCTTCGTCCGCAAAACTTCGTCCGCAAATCTTCGTCCGCAAATCTTCGTCCGCATTTTTCGTCCACGCATTTCTTCGTCCACGCAAATCTTCATCCGCAATTCTTTGTCTGCGCATATTTTCGTCCGCAAACCTTTGTCTCCGCTATCTTCGTCTCCGCAAACATTCGTCCACAAATGTGGTTCAATAAAACCATGAAGAAATATCAGACCATCAAGTGATTGACGAATTTAATGCACGGAATGGATGATCGAAACTTTTGAAGTCAGGTAGATGAGGTCTGTCAGGTGAAGCTATTGTATTTGGGAGCCGAGAATTGAAACATTCCATATCATTTGTGTCCCGGACATTCTTTTTTCGCGGTCGATGAATGACAATATAATCTCTTGTACCCTCGCCGGCATAGGCGGCGGAACGGGGAGGGCACCGGGGCATCGTTCCCCTCTTTAATTTTGGCCTTTCAACAGTAGCCCTATGGGCGTTGCATGGAAAGAATGGGACTAAAAGTCGGCAGTGTCGTGCCCCCCCCCCCCCCTAATTGAAGGTGTTCCGCCCGCCGCTACTGCTCGCCGGACCTATTTGTTTTCTACATACACGCCGGCCGAGGGGGGCGGGTACGACCCCCCCCCCCCCCCATCGCCGTCTCGCCACTGGTGGAGCTAGCGCGTCGCGGAAAAAAACGAGCGTGTGCGCCGTTACGAGACGCAGAGGTTTTAAGGCCCGATTTTAAGGCCTTCTAGGTCAGGGGTCGGCTTACAGCCCGCGGGCCGGATCCGGCCAGGAGGGTGACGGTTGGATCCGGCCCGCGACCATCTGACGTCCGGCCCGCGGCTGGTATCATCGACTTACGTCGTGTTCCGGCCCGCGGTTCCTTCAGAAATCGACTCCGATATAAAAGTGACTTAAATGTGTTTTGGCACAATATTGTGCCAATGTGTTTTGGCACAATATTGTGCCAAAACACATTTAAGTCACTTTTATATCGGAGTCGATTTCTGAAGGAACCGCGGGCCGGAACACGACGTAAGTCGATGATACCAGCCGCGGGCCGGACGTCAGATGGTCGCGGGCCGGATCCAACCGTCACCCTCCTGGCCGGATCCGGCCCACGGGCCGTAAGCCAACCCCTGACCTAGAAGGCCTTAAAATCGGGTATTAATCTCTGCGTCTCGTAACGGCGCACACGCTCGTTTTTTTTTCGCGACGCGCTAGCTCCACCAGTGGCGAAACGGCGATGGGGGGGGTCGTACCCCCCCCCCCCTTGGCCGGCGTGTATGTAGAAAACAAATAGGTCCGGCGAGCAGTAGCGGCGGGCGGAACACCTTCAATTAGGGGGGGGGGCACGACACTGCCGACTTTTAGTCCCATTCTTTCCATGCAACGCCCATAGGGCTACTGTTGAAAGGCCAAAATTAAAGAGGGGAACGATGCCCCGGTGCCCTCCCCGTTCCGCCGCCTATGCCGGCGAGGGTACAAGAGATTATATTGTCATTCATCGACCGCGAAAAAAGAATGTCCGGGACACAAATGATATGGAATGTTTCAATTCTCGGCTCCCAAATACAATAGCTCCACCTGACAGACCTCATCTACCTGACATCAAAAGTTTCGATCATCCATTCCATGCATTAAATTCGTCAATCACTTGATGGTCTGATATTTCTTCATGGTTTTATTGAACCACATTTGTGGACGAATGTTTGCGGAGACGAAGATAGCGGAGACAAAGGTTTGCGGACGAAAATATGCGCAGACAAAGATTTGCGGACGAAGCTTTGCGTGGACGAAGAAATGCGTGGACGAAAAATGCGGACGAAGATTTGCGGACGAAGATTTGCGGACGAAGATTTGCGGACGAAGTTTTGCGGACGAAGATTTGCCGGGACGAAGATTTGCGTGGACGAAGAAATGCGGACGAAGATTTGCGTAGACGAAGAAATGCGTGGACGAAAAAATGCGGACGAAGATTTGCGGACGAAGATTTGCGGGGACGAAGATTTGCGGACGAAGATATGCGCAGACGAAGATTTGCGTGGACGAAGAAATGCGGACGAAGATTTGCGTAGACGAAGAAATGCGTGGACGAAAAAATGCTTGACGAAGAAATGCGCGTACGAAGAAATGCGGATACGAAAAAATGCGCTACGAATATTTGCACTTACGAAGAAATGCGAGACGAAGTTATGCGACACGAATAAATGCGCCGACGAAGATTTGCGGACGAAGAAATGCGGACGAGGAATTGCGCGACGAAGAATTGCCATACGAAGATTTGTCCGGTTACGCCAATTTGGCTATCTCAACTCAAAACTAATGTTAAGGTGGGAGTGTCCCTTTAACTCACGTGATGCTGCGGCCATGTCAAATAAGCTATGTGTTGCTTGTTGTCGATTAAAAACACCCACCGACCAAGCTAATCAAGAGCGTAATTCAAAATAATCAAAAAAGAGGGAGGGGGCCTGCGCCAATGCCACCAATTCTCTCGGCTTCGGCGGTGTAAACAGTTAAGGTTGGTATATTTTAAGTGTATTGACACAGATGGAAGCACTGTCGAATTAAATGACGTCATTGGACTATGAAAAGTCTGGAACGTGTCAAGCGGGACAAAGTGGGACTTAGCCGACTACAGCGGAACAAAGTGAGACTCAACCGACTACAGCGGGACATAGTGGGTCTCAGCCGCCTCCAGCGGGACAAAGTGGAACTCAGCCGACTAAAGGGGGGGGGGCATAATGGGACTCAGCCGACTACAGCGGGACATAGTGAGACTCAGCCGACTACAGCGGGACATAGTGAGACTCAGCCGACTACAGCGGGACATAGTGGGACTCAGCCGGTTCCAGTGGGACATAGTACGAGACTCAGCCGACTATAGCGGGACAAAGTGAGACTCAGCCGACTACAGCGGGACATAGTGGGTCTCAGCCGGCTACAGCGGGACAGGACTCAGCCGGACCCAGCGGGACACAATTTGGGACTCGGCCGGTCCCAGCGGGACAAAGTGAGGCTCAGCCGACAACAGCGGGGCATAGTGGGACTCAGCCGACTACAGCGGGACATAGTGGGACTCAGCCGTTTCCAGCGGGACAAGTCGCACTTCGAGTCCCGCTTTGTCCCGCTTTGAGTCCCACTTTGTCCCGGTGGACCGACTGAGTCCCATTCTGTCCCGCTGGGACCGGATGAGTCTGACTTTGTCCCGCTGGAGCCGGTTTAGTCCCACTATGTCCTGCTGTAGTCGGCTGAGTCCCATTTTGTCCCGCTGGAACCGGCTGAGGCCCACTATGTCCAGCTGTAGTCGGCTGAGTCCGACTATGTCCCGCTGTAGTCGGCTGAATCCCACTATGTCCCGCTGTAGTCGGCTGAATCTCATTTTGTCCCGCTGGGACCGGTCAATTTTTATGCAAGTTTTTGACTTTTCGAAGAAAAAAAACGGAATATATGTGATAGAACGCATGCTTATGACTTACTCTAGCAAGTGTTAGCTAAATATCTTTAAAAATGGCCAAGTTATACGCATAATTGCAAAAAAAAAACAATATTTTTCAAATCAATTTTTCAGTACGTATTTGACATCGTACACCAACATAAATAGCACAATCGTGTTCCTGAGCTCAAATTGCATCCAATAGACACCTTTTTTGACCTGAAAGTGACCTGACCTAAGACTTAAACTTCGACTTAAAATGACCTCGAATGACACAGACGACATCAAATTCGAAATCTATGCCCTAAATGGACCATAAAACATATATGTCACGTGACCGACGCATGATATAATATTTCCGTGACCTGTGATGACCTGACCCTGACCTGAAAATCAAAGTACGAGTGGTACTCTCAGGGTATCTAAAGCATCTGTTCACGAGTGTGTAAACCCAAAATGAGCCTGATCTGACTTGTAAGACGGCGGCCAGAGCCCAAAATGTGAACAAGCCAAAATGCTAATAATTTTTACTTTGACCTGACCTGTGACGTCATCGGTGACCTCGAGTTCAATGAAATTAGGTTTCGCTCGACAGTTGTTGCGGGACTATCACACGCCGTTTGAATTTTGACGATCGGCCCAGTAATTTCGTAGTTAGGAGGGGGGGCTATGAAGAGCCCCCCCCCCCCCCCAGTAGGGCGCGTTATACGCAGATCCCAGGGGGGAGGGGCTCGAACGGACCCCTCGGTTTTTCGCGAATAACTCAGGTGAAGAGCGGCTGACCGCAAAGAAACTTTCACTACACTTGAGTTCACCAATTTTACACCATATCTGAAAATTTAATGACCGTGACCGAAATGACCGTCGACCTGTGACCTGATTCTCTAGACCATGTTAGGCCTGATTCGTGATCCGGC